AGTACCAATAGTAATAGGTGCCTTGGGTGCAATTCCAAAACATCTGGAGCACCACTTGAATACCATTGGCACTGACAAAATCATGATCAGTCAACTGCAAAAGGCAGCTTTACTTGGAACAGCTTATATCCTGTCATGATACCTTTAATGTTATTAAACAATATCATTTGCCTAACCCAGGTCCTTGGGAAGGACTCGATAAGTGGACAAAAATGCCAAATCCAGTCTAAACATCTGGCTGACTGTGCGACCAACCATAATAATAATAATGGTTCACACTTGCTGTTTTCCTAACCCAGGTCCTTGGGAAGGACTCGATAAGTGGACAAAAATGCCAAATCCAGTCTAAACATCTGGCTGACTGTGCGACCAACCATAATAATAATAATGGTTCACACTTGCTGTTTTATTTCCAGAGAACTCTATAGTTACTGAGAAAGCTGGAAAGAGCTTTGCATATTTCACTGCCACTAAAGCCAGTGATAGTTTCTTTGGCATACTGCATCCTACAACAAAAACTGCAAGTGTGGCCAACCTACTTTTCCATATCTATGACTTTCAGGGTTGGTATCTTTTCCTAACTGATCTCTTCTCCCCCAAGAGAGATTCCTACTCACACGGCTACCTAAACGGGATCGCCCCTTATCTTCTCCTCCAGAGATTCAAAAACTTACTCCTCTCCTTGTAGGAACTTGGGCACTCATGCCCCTTCCTCTATGGGGGGCAGTTGCCCAACTGACTATCTTGTTTTAACAGGGCTCAAAGAACTCTCTTCGCTAACCTATGGGAAGCTGGATGACATCTATCTCCACAGACAAGGCTCCCTTCCCGACTGAGCATGGAAAGCCCTCAAAGTTTCTTTTCCCACACTGGGACGGTCCCGATCTTTGGGCTACCAGTCCAATAATCCCCAAACGTCAAGTACCATAGCGGGAACTTAAGGGAATTGTAGTGCAAAACATTCGGAGGGCACCAAGTTGTCTCCGCTTGCCTTAAGAGGTCCCCGTCGCTGTTCCCACCACCCCTCCGGCTCCCGAGCCTCATCTCCCCCATCTCCGGGGCTCTGTGCCCTGCGCCGCCCTGCCCCGACTTCTGCCGCCCCGCTTCGCCACCCACCTGGCTGCTGCTTTCGGCGGGCAGGTTCCTCAGCAGAATCTTGCGCCTGTTGCTCAGTTCCCGCCTTGTGCTCTGCAGCCTGTGGGCGATCTCCTCCGGGGACAGAGGACGAGGCGACCCGCCCGCCTCCACGGCGGACTCCCCCAGAGCCCCGAGCAAGTGGGGGCCGGACCCCGCAGCTGCCGCCATCTTGCCGGCCCAGATGCGAACACGCTCTCCCTACGCCAGGGGAAGCCGGTGGGCGGGAGGGGAGCCAGGGCGGGCGGGCTGGAGAGCGGGAGGGGCGAGGAGAGCGCAGCAGCCGGCTGTGGTTCGCCGCGGCTGCCTGGGACACAAGAAGCGGCGGCGGCTCGCGCGCCTCTTTCCCCGGCAGCCGATGCCCCCGGGCGCCGAAGCTCCTCGCTGCGCTCGCGCTCGCTCCTCGCCAGAGGATGCCTGCAGGGCGAAGAACCCAGCGCGCCGTGGTTTTTGCTCGGTCGCCTGCGGAAAGGATGAAGCACAAAGGCAGTCGCCTTCCGCGTCTGTTTGGAAATCCTGCTAGGCAACTCTTCGGTTAGCCAGTTGCTTTTGATACGTTATAAATAGAGAGATGCACCCATCGGCAGAGCAATAGCTTGCGGGCTTTCTATCGTTAAGAGCTGCGTGTCAGAGCAATTAAGGGAAGTGGCAATCGAGATGCCACGATAAGGGAAAACGTTGCCTGTTGAATGGCGTGGAGCCCAAAAAGGGAGGCTGGCAACTTGAAGCGAAAGTGGATTAATGTTTCACCAGAACTAGGATGTTACACAGGGATCTTCTTAAGTTTTTTTTTTACGCACTGGAGTTTAACACTTCAGAAGGGCGGAGTGTTTTAAACAAGGAACAAACTTTCTCGCACTTAAAGACCTTGACCTTCCCTCTCCTTTCTGTTATTTTACTGTGGGAAAAAAAGATGAAGTTTCTGGGGGAATCGAAATAGGTTTCCGGACGTGCACATGTAGCACGTAAAAGATTGGAGATAAAAGGCGTTTCTCCACCCTCTTTGTAAAGTAATGTTGGATTTTATATTAACTCTCTAGAGTTCCCTCTGCTTGCGTTGTTAGGTTCTACTGTAACAACAAAAACACGTTAGAACTTCTAGGTAATATCGGGTGACAGGCTGAATTAACGCTGACCTTAAACATAATCCCATTATTCATAATAACTAATGAAATCCTCTTGTATTACAACAGTTCTCCTAGGAGAGGATTGAAATAAAAGAGATGGAGGCAAACAAGCATTTTCACTGGTTGGATTCACATATGACCCAAAGGGCCTCTCACCACTTGCCTCTAGCCGTGAGGTAAATATGCCTTGGCTTCTCTTTTCTTTTGTGTCCCTGTGACTCTGTCTTCGCCTCATTCCTAGTCCATGAGTGAGAGTTAAATTGTCCTTAGCCTAACAGGTGGTAAAATAGTATTTTTCTCCCTTGTTTCAACAACAGCCAAAGGCAGCCTCAAACTATTTAAAATCCGTTATGCTTTGTCACCATCACCTTGGAGGAAGATAGGCGATTGCAGTGACTTGAGAGATCAGCAGTGTACGGTTTCTGCCAGCTCAGAGTTGGGTGTATAGTATTTCAACTCAGCAAGAGTCATAAGGCACAGTTGGTTGACTGGCTTTTGGTTTAGTATGTTGTGTGAACCCAGGCACTTATTTAACAAACTGTGGTTAAAACAAACCATGACTTAGCCATTTGTATCGCACTGTTCAACATAGCTTTGTAGTTAAGATCGGGTTAAATAAAATTGGATCCCTTTGATGTACCAAGATGCACGTTGGTAACTAACATTAATATTTGGGATTGTCCATTGGTGCTGGTATTTTTTGGGAAGTCATTAGTCAGAGGCTGAGTGTGGCTGCATCAGCTAAAGGCTGCTGCTGAATCCTTTCTACTGGAATTGCTGTAATAAGCCTGACTGCACTGATCCATTCTGGGATCAAATAGAGTAGAATCTGTAACATCCCTAAATAAACAGCCTCCATGCCTAATTGGTTTATTTACCACAGCTGCAAATTGTACATGGCCTGTATTCTTATAGATCTGCAATTATCTTAGTATTCCTTCAATTTAGACGAGCATGTTTTCAAATATTATTTATTCAAGTCTGAAGCATCTGAAATATGAGATGTTGCACATAGCATGATTGGCTAAACCAGGATATAAGTCTGCCATGGCTTAGTTCAGGGTTCTTCAAAGTGGTATCAACCCCAAAGGGTCAAAGGGACTATCCATTGTTGTTGTTGTATTATGTGTAGTACTATTAGTTAAAGTACTATTTGTTATTTTCATATAACAAATGTTTGGGGGTTGATGAAGAATCTGGAACTTCATGAAAGGGTCAATGAGCTGAAAAGTTTGGGGACCCCTGGTTTAGTTAATACTTCTGTATGATTTCTGCTGAAGCAGATTCTGTCACACAGGACAGATAAAGCAGAAGAAAATCTTCTCCACCAACTATGAGATTTTTCCGATACATCCAATGTGCTTTCCCACCACCCTCAAGATAGGAAGAAAGTACACTGCTTTGAAAATGTGGTTGTTGGTCACAATAAGGGAAATGCAGAGCAAATGGCAAATGCAGCAATGGTTAAGGAGCAGGGAGGGTGAAGGATCCCTGTCTCCCTGTCTTTTTCCTCTTCCCCACCCATGCGAGGTAGGTTGGGCTGAGAAACAGGCCCAAACTCACCCAGAGAGCTTCCATGGCTGAGGAAGTCCAACACCTTAACTACTGTGCCACATACAGATACATTATTGCTAGGTTGGGCTTCAACATAACAGGAATGCAAAATTAATTATTCATTATCAGCAAGAACTTATATATCCCAATCATAAGAACTAGCATGATGGAAAAATAATTAGGACCAACATGAACCAATAACTGTTACAGGTGACCAAAACATTCTGTACAGAAATGTCCCACGCACAGAATTGCTTGTGTTGGGTGCTCCATGCCCAAACTATTTCACATGCTTTGGTCCATATCAGGAACAAAACTGGTATAGACTGAACCATTATTTGGGGCAGAAGCAATTTGAGAAGGGGTAAGAGTGGAAAAAAGCCACATCTGAAGGGTTTCCTGGGTAACTTGCCTTATTCTCTCCATAGAATAGCAGAGATTCTTCTGGAATTTGTTTCAGCTAAAATTTCAAATACACAAAATGCTCCAGGTTTTGCTTCTGCCAAGCTCTGATGATCTAAAATGGTTCAGCATAACTTCCATTAGCTTCTGCTTTGAAACAGAATGTATATTCCATTTAGTACACATCCCTAGTTTTTAGTTTCTTTTTTATAAGAATTAATATGGATTCTCTTGGACTCACAGTTCTTGCTTGAACAGCAGATGGAGGCTGTGGCCAGGAAGGCCTCCATAAAATTACATCTTATGTACCATTTGTGGCCATTTATATAACAGGAAGTGTTGTTCTCAGCCACTGATACCCTTTGCAATTTGCTCTACGTTAGGCTGCACTTGAAGTCCATTCAGAAACTTTAGCTGGTTCAGCATGCAGCAGTCCAAATAGTTACGGAAGTACCTTGGTTCACCCATGTTACACCAGTACTATGGGAGCGGCATTGGCTGGCAGCTTCAGGGTGCAATTCTAGTTACATGGCTAGGTTCTCAGTAACTTGGAGACCTCTTTTTCTGAATTGAATCTGCCCAACCAGTGAGATCTAGTACAGAAGGCTTTCTGAGGGTCCCAATGTTGAGAACGTCATCTACAGTGACCCCATGTTTAAGCCTTTCCACTGTGGTCCCTGCTTCTAGAACACTTACCTCCACATATTTGGACTACCAGCTCCCAATTATATTTTCAGTCTAGGAAACACAGCTCTTCAGGCAGGCATTTTGAGATGCTTGAAGAACCTGCTGCCTGAACCATGACACATCAGGGCCTTGCTGTTTATATTACTTTGCCATTGTTAGTTATTAACAAGTCTTGGTAATTATTGTTAATTAATAATTGTTAATATCTTTGTAATTGTTTGTATTTTACATTGTTTGTAAGCTGCTTGAAGCTTTTGGAAATGGAACAGCATATAAGCCAAAGTAATATACATATACATACATTTTTTAACTATATAAAATCAACTGCTGGCTTGGGTCGCTCATCACATGAAGCCACTATTTGTTATTCTTGCTAAACTGGAAAAGGCTGATAGGAATCGACAGGATGGCACGTGGGGCAGATGGGGCAATGGATACTTTAAACCCTAACTCCACCAAATTAAAATGAATTACTTTAAAATTTTAAAAAGGTCAACATTTGGCAAATGTTTGTGATTTGAGATTTTAGCTGGGTCTGCAAACATGCCGAGTCCTGTACTAAAACTATTTTTATTTATTTATACCTTGCCATTCTACTCAAGTGAACACTCAACAATCTACGTTACAGTTAGTCTGTTGCATGAATAGGGCCACTATTTTACTTTAGGTGTTATTGTACAGTAAATTGCTTCTTTTGACCATGAAGCAATGAGCAACCCATGTATATGGAAACAGCATTTACCTTTGGATATAATAAATAATGCTTAACCAAGAGAACAGGCCAGTATCCAGAATGTATAGGAACTTATGTCTATGAGCTCAAACCATTTTTTTAAAAATTCAGCCTTTAGTACATCTTGTTATTCCAAAAGTTCTGTAAATAGTTCTGCTTACAAGGTGTGGCTAGGTACAAGGAGAGTAGACCTGTGTCAAACAAACTCTGTTACAGTACATCACAAGAATTTTGGAATAATTCATCCTGGCCACCCAACACATCAAAAGCAGTATTAACTCAAACATTGCCTATCCCTCCTAACTGTAAAAGATCATCAGTTAAAGGCCATTCATCACGGACAATTAAAAAGACCTAACTCTCCATTACAACAGGGAAATAGGAAGAGAATCAGGCAGGATGTCAACAATAACAGCAACAAAGGATAGAAGATTTTGGAAATACAGTCCATTGCCAATCTTGGCAGGTCCAGCATCAGCATTCAACAGCTTAGTTGGGGGTGACAGCAGCAACTAGCCATTAACATTTCATACAAAATCCTGGAGCTACACTCTGTTGCAACATTTGAGAACAGCAGGGAATTAAAATGGTAACTGGAACAAGATATGTAGTATCAGAGATACTTTGGAAAATTCAAAGGTTTGCCACTGCTGTCACTTTGAAAGTCAGAAACCTATCAATCACAGAGGGTCTGTAGGGTAAATAACCAGAAAACACTTTACCAAAGACCTGGACTTTCATGTAGAGACCGTAAGTATAATATCCAAAATATATTTGAGTTAAGAATCTATTCCTTTCCATATTTAAATGTGACATGCTGGAGCTTCAAGTCCTAGTCCCACCTTAGGCGTGAAAGCCGGCTGGGTGACTTTGGGCCAGTCACTCTCTCTCAGCCAAGGCTGGTTTGAGCGACAAGCTACTCGGTCAATTCCTGTTGCAACCAACGGATCAACATTTGGTTGATCCGAAAAAAGCGGACCCTGCACACATGGGAAAAACGCTAGGAAGAGAAAAAAAAAATGGTGGAGTTTTGAGTACAAAACCCATTACATGTAAGTAAAAAGAATGTGAATGATACACAAAGTAGTTGATAGTATTGATAAACACATAATTCATTAAGCATTACTGGCAAGTGGAAGAGCATCTAGATAAAGAAAAAAATGGTGAATTAAGTGCTTGCTGTTTTAAA